CTCTCTCTCTCTCTCTCTCTCTCTCTCTCTCTCTCTCTCTCTCTCTCTCTCTCTCTCTGCTAGCCACGTGGCGGACCATTTTTCTTTTGTTTTTTTCATAGGAGATAGCTATGGTGGGATCTTTGTCACGTTGTTTGGCGGAGGAGGAGCGGGAGGAGGAGCGGGAGGAGGTATGGGAAAAGGAGCGGGAAAAGGAGGAGTGGGAGGAGGAGCGGGAACAGGGGAAGAAGGAGCGGGAGGGGAAATGCGACGGGGCGGAGGAGCCGTGGGAGGAGGAGCTGGAGAAGGCGGAGCGGCAAGGGAAACGGGAAGGGGGTTAGGAGCGGGAGAAGGAGCACGAGGAGAAACGGGAAGGGGCGGAGGAGGCGTGGGAGGAGGGGGAGGAGATATAGGCGGAGGAGGAGAAGCGGGAGGAGCACGAGGACGAGCGGGAGAAGGAGTGGCAGGAGGAACGGGGGAAAGAGCAGGGGAAGCAGCGGGAAAAGGAGAAGCAGCAGGGGGGAGAGCGGGAGAAGGAGGAGGAGGAGGAGAAGGAGGAGCAACAGAAGAACGAGCGGGAGCAGGTTTATGGCGGGATCTTTGTCACGTTATTTGGTGGAGGAGTGAGAGGGGGGGAAGGAGGAGGAGGAAGAGGAGTGGGAGGAGCGGTGTCGCGCGCGGCGGTCCCTCACCCAGACGTAAAGTAAAGTTTTTGGTGTTGGACCTCACGGTTGTGTCACGCAAGAGTTTCTTTTTGTTACTTTACGAAAACACCACTCCGACCGTACGCGCGTGCTATACCTCTCGCGACTCCCTACAACAGGTTAGGGATCCCGCGAGGTACACCATACCTCCACCTGCGGGAGCTGTCACCATCCCTTAGGTGGGCGTATCCCTGCTGAGCTACTGACCCACGTACGAAGACTTTTACATGCAATCGCAGAGGTAGGCCAGCCGAGGGCGTTTTCTCGATCGCCGTAGCATAGGCATACGCGCGGTAGAACGCCTTAAGACTGACCTGTATGTCGTGCCCCGAAGCGCGAACTCTCCGGACCGACTATTTAATCAGGTCGACTTCTCGGACAGTCTTCCACACTAGACTAACTATGACAACGACTCTATGTTTACTTTGCTCATCATGTGAGAATGCCAGGGTTGAGCCCCTTTGTAGTCTCTTATTCTCTCAGACAGGAGCCTAGACAAATGACTTTCCGATCCTGACCAAGTACGATCCCATTCACATGTATATATATATATATATTGTATGTATGTAAATCAGGGGAGTTGACTGAGCGGTGGACCTCACTTTCACAATTGTCGTGTCCCTTTGCCCGAATTTATCAGACGATCCCAAATTCAGAAGACAGCACAAATGTCCAACACCTGTGCAGATGCGAGAAATAACATACACGCATACAGATGCAGACACAAAATGCGCTACAAGTGTCAACCTTTAATCCATTCATAGCAAGCCACTCACGCCCTAAACCCTTGAAAACAACATTCCTTCCTAACCCTGATTCCTTTTACCCCAGCCCCACACATTTTCGAAGACTCCTGAGTGTGATTTGGACAATTTAGGCATAGATACAGGTGGAAGATTTATCTGTTCCCTTCTTAGGTCTTGTCTTAGGTGTGGGTGTCAAGCCATGGTGGATGTTGAGTCGGAGTTCTACCGACCTGTTATCCAGAGATAACATAATTGTTGCTCTTACGGATTCTCTGTAAGTTCTCCGAAGTGTCGAAACCTGTAGACACAACACAGTCCAAGAGAATCTTAACATCTCTCTTCCTAACTGAGATCTAGAAAGTTCCTTCTAGACTCTGTGTTCCCTGTCTGACTCCTACTATTCTTAACTAATTGTTTGGGTTGTTGCCCATTCCGCTTCAGGTAGTGAATAATAATTCACTTCCTTTTTACTGTCACGACAACTCTTCACATCCCTTTCACTATCTCATTCTTATCCCTTTTTGGGATTATCCTGTCTGAGTTCCCTTCCTTCTCCCATCACACATGAACACATCACCAATCCAACCTGTGGAAAATAATCTCATGGAAGGAATCAGATAAATGGATAGTCTCTCTCTGAGGCAAGGTCTCACTTATCTCCTTTCAGTAGAATCAGAGATAGTTAGTTAGGACTGAACAATGCAGATTGTGGAGAAAGTTAGCGGCGGTATGGCAGACCATTCAGGACATATCCATCTGTTACTGGAGCGTTGTTTGACAAGGGCAAACTTGTGGGTCTTGACCACTGTGTGCCAAGCATATTTAGCGGTAGGCTTATCCTATGGCTAATCACTAATAAGGCAGGTATCCTTGAAACCTCGCTACTTCTTATATTGGATTAGTCACTGATAAGACAGGATTCCCCTGCTACTCTTATCACTGACTAACCCTCAATAAGGTGGGTGCCCAAGGATCCTTGCTTACTCTTACCACTGAAAAGAATGTTAAGTTGGTTAATGATAAGGCAGGTGTCCTTGAAACCTCACAACTCTTATATCAGACTAGTGACTGATAAGGCAGGATCTCCCTGTTTCTCTTATCACTGGCTAGCCCTCAATAAGGCGGGTGTCCAAGGGTCCTTGCACTTACCACTGACCAAGCATAAGGCTCATTTGGAGTTAAGGCATAATTTTTCTGCTATTCTTACCCCCCCACAAGTCTTATTTATGGCTCAAGTCCTCGCTTTCGATGACATTCGAGCCCAGAATCGTTTGTTAATTTGGAGACTTATCGCTGGATCAGATGTATAATGAGCAATGATCGGCGTGATCCATGACATTTGATTATGACAACTCAAATCAAGGTACCCATCATTTGTTTGGATGGGATATAAAGAGAATGATCGAGGGAGGTTGATAGCTTGTATCCATACCTCCCATCAATGCCCACAACAAGATTGTTGTATCCAAAAGCAATTAGTCTCCATTCAGACAAACTTTTCTCTACCCGCAACCCAAACTTTAAGAGTTCATTGATTCCGAATGCCTAACCCTTATGATCATCGTTACGATGATAGCCTATATGAGACAGTATCCTGGGTTGAAGTAACGTACCTCGTCGTTCCCTGCCTCCAGAGTTCCGCCTGAACTGCGGCAGAGCTCCCGCAATCGCCCTGTTACATGGATCAAAATATGGAATGAGAATCCTTTGTGCATGAATTCTGATTTCGGTAAGACATTGGAACATACTATTTTCACTTATGTTGTTTGAAAGTGGTTGTGTGCTTATATAGGGTTTAGGCATAGGAAAGCGAAGGGGGTTAAAGGATGTAAGAGCCGTCATACTTGTTAGCGCCCTCCTTCGCTCTATTGCCTCGCACCCCTGTCCGATTCTGATTCCCTATTTTAGTATGTGGTCCTGACGATATAAGTAATAATGATGCCAATAATAATAACAATAATACTGACAAGGAAAATAATAATAAAAATAATAATAATAATAATAATAATAATAATGATAATAATAATAATAGTAATAACAATAATAATAAAATACTGATAAAAGAAATAATAATAATAATAATAATAATAATAATAATAATAATAATAATAATATCCAAGATTATGAAAACGAACGATATCAAAATCCAGGTTGCGAGATCACACAATCGTCTGAATAGTCGTATACAAGCAGCGAGTATCATAGCTCTGCGCATTCAGCCAACAGAGCAATACAATGTAGTAGTGAGTCAAAACTCAAGTTTTCAAGCCCATGTCAACCCCAATGCCCCAGCCTACTTCACTCCACAACTTCGTCTACGGTCTCTTCCTTCTTTCTCTCTTTGCCCCCCTTTGTTGTACGTATGTCTCCTTTCTCTTTGCGTCATTGTGTATCACAGTTTGCATGTGCTGCTGTTTCTCATGTAGGAGAAGGGTGAATGAAACAGATCTATAAATAATAATAATAATAATAATAATAATAATAATAACAATAATAATAATAATAATAATTAGTTGCTAGGGTCATGAATGTCGATGAAGCACTAAAATCCTCCTCGCAGAATCACATGGTTAGTCCATGTAGCCAAAGCAAGAGTAGATAGTATAATGGAATCCAAGTAACCATTTCTTTGAGAATGATTCAGCAGCATCGAGAGCCAAGGGCAACACTAACAACATAACCCAACGTAGCTATCTCTTGTGAATGGAGCCAGGCGCCCTATCTACCCAACATGTTAATTCTACAACTACGACAATGAAAGCAATCAGACAACTTAACTATGAATGAATGATGATGTCAATGCCAAAGCCGAGTCCTTCTCTCCACCAGGTATGTCCTATTCTTCCCCACACATCCCCTCGATAACCCACAGCGCCTTTCACTCCTCACTACACCCTCTCGCAGCCCAGGCTATGGCCGCCAGTGCCCATGCGTCCACAGGCAGCACCCTACCTCCTAGCGCATGCCTGTCTCTCACCTCCGCCTAGCGCAGCACAGCAGCGCAGCAGCTCGCATTTGCGCAGCGTGCCTGCAATGCCTGCACTGGCAAAAGATCCATGCCTACTCGCCCTGCTTGCCTATGTGACAGTGTTGCGCATGGGTGGCCTTCCTTCAGCCTGCGACTGGACCCTAGTGCCTGAACCTAGGCCTAATGCAGTTGGGGCCCCGGGTGATGCAGTTGCGCCTCTTTTGTCAAGGCCTATGGCCAGATTCAGATAGTGGCCGATTTTCCTTTGACATTTTTGACCTCTATACCCAACGTGCATTGTCGGCCTCACGTTCAATTGCCCAGGGCCTAACTAACTCAGAGGCCCTGGAATCTCCACATTTGCATAGATTTGAGACTCAGTGCACTCGAACCAACTGGCGTGCTGCAACTGTATGAACCCCACTTCGTGAAATGTTTGCACAGAGGGCTCTTATTGACTGTCTGGCCTGCCTTCACTTAGGGCGGTCACAGATCTGGCCCGCCTTCACTTAGGGCGGGCACGAAGCTTGCTGGGCCTATGCCCAGATCATATGCATGTCCGCAAGGCCCCTCTGAGGGCTCAATCCTCATAATAATAATAATAATAATAATAATAATAATAATAATAATAATAATAATAATAATAATAATAATAATAATAATTAATAATAATAATAATACGCAAAGGACGTGAATATGGACGAAGCACAAAAATCCAAATTGCATATTCGCACTGGAGTCCAGGTAGTAAAAACCAGAGCAGATAGTACAATAGAACCGAATAACCATCCATTTGAGAATGATACAGCAGAATTGTAAGACAATGTCAAAGCCCAATCGGACAAGACTAACAACATAACCCAACCTAACTCTTACCCGGAACGGTGCCCGGTGCCCTATCTACTTTACAGCCTAATACTAGAACTACAACTTCGAAGCAACCAGACAACTCGGCGTCAAGCGAGTGACGCCGTCAACATCAACGCCTGCCTCTTTCTCCCCAGTTTACAGATGTCACGTGGCTCCATCGCTATCAAGTATACAACAACAACAATAATAATAATAATAATAATAATAATAATAATAATAATAATAATAATAATAATAATAATAATAATAATAATAATCACAATAATAATAATAATAGTAATAATAATAATAATAACAAACATAACAACGAGACAACAATTCCAGATAACACCTGCGTATTGAAATCCAGATAGTCATATTGTCCGGAGAGTGGCATTGCACCCACATACACCAACGGAGGTTCGTGGTACTGAGGCAGATGTCAATAGAGAGCATACTCTCTCTTCTCATCATAAGAGTCCGGTTTCTTCACACTCACATGTGGCGTTCAGCGTCCAGCCTACTCCTACACAGCTACTTCAGACTACAAAAGACACTGCAACTGTTGACTTCAGCGGCAACCTGAAGTATTTGAAGATGACGCCCATGCAGACCATCGCCAACGCAAGGTAAGTGCCCCACATCATCATCATCATCATCATCATCATCATCATCATCATCATCATCATTA